TATAGTTAACTATAAATATTATTAAGAATAGCTTATATAAATTATAGGCGAAAATCTGGTATTTAAAGGTAAGTATTTAATAAAGTATTAATATTATTTTAGTTTATTAATACCTTTTATTTAACTTTAAACTAATAAAATTAATTACTTAATAACTTTAAAAGCCTTACCTAAAGCATGTTATTATAGTTTATAGCCTGCTAGTTAAATACTATAGCTTTATTTTATTATTATTTAAGCTATATTTTACTTTTAATAGGTAATAAATAGCTATTACCTTATTTATTTTTATAATATTTAAAACTTAACTTTATAATATTAAGCTATATATTATTATAGTTATTTCCCGGGATTAAATTTAATTATATTATTTTTTTAGTATATTATTATAAAAAATAATTTATAACTATATTATTTATTATATTTTTATATTTTATTATAAAATTATTACCCAGCGCCCTGGCTGTGTAATATATTATAAATTATATAAAGGTTATAAATAATTATTACTAGCAAGTATTAGCTAAGATACTATTAATATAAAAGCTAAAATTATAGGTTAAGCGCCTAAAAGCCACCTTTATATTACCTAGTAATATAAAGGTAATTATAATATAAATTATTAAAAAATGCCTTTTTACGCCCTATATTTAGTACATAGGAAAAAATAAATTATTTATAAGTTATATTATTATTAACAGGTTACTATTTAACGCCTGCGCTAACTATTATTATATTTTAAAGGGTAAATATTATAATTATTATAATAAGTACCCTAATTAATAGTCCGCGAAGCTAGTAACTAATTATAATAATTTAAAAATTAATATTAAAAATACTATTACTACCGCCCGTGCTATAAAAAAAAAATTATATAAAAAAAAAAAAAAAAAAATAATAGCCATGTTATAAAGTGGTTATAATATTACCTAGTAAATAGCTAAGTATTTACTTAAATATTAACTTTTACTTAATTATAAACCTGCGGCCATGCTAAGTAGCTTTATAACTTATTTAATATAATAATTACTTAAAAAAACATGTTTACTACTACTTAAAAGGTATTTACTAAAACATGCCTTAATATTATAGCCAAGTTTATAAAAAAAGTAGGTTTATTAATAAATAAAAAAAAGGTAGGAATAAGTTCCCTGGTTTATTAAATAAGTTTAATAAAAAATTATTAAAAAATAATTAGTGTTTATAAGGCTAGACCCTAATTATTAAAGCTAGTTTAAATTATTATTTTATTTTTAAATTTATACCTATATTATTATTACTTTTGTAATAAAAGATATTATTTATAATTATAATAAATATATATTAGTAGCGCCTTAAATAATTATTTTTATATTTTTATTTTTTAGTATTAAACAGGCCGCTAACTAACTAGTTATAATTAAAAGATTTTTTAAATAATAATTTTTTAAGTAACTATACACGCGATATAGCCACATATATAAAACCTAATAAAAACTTTTTATATATAATAAGGTTTAAAACAGCCTGCTTAATAGTAACCCCCTAAGCCTTATAAATTATTATTATATATACTAGTATAATTAAAAACTATATATAGGTGTAAATAGCGCTGTAATAGTAAAAGTCTTACCTTATATAAAAAATTAGCATTATATTATAGCTATTATTTTTTTTAGCATGTAGACTGTTATACTAGTTAAAAGCTATTATTAAAGTAAATAGCGCCTTTTAAGTAAGATTTATAGTTTTTAATAACTATATAATATTTATTAACATGCCTATAGTACTATTTACAAGACCCCTTTTTATTTAAATATTTTATATTAATATAATATAATAGTTAAAAAAAACCATAAGCTTTTTAATTAGGTTTCTAGCCTAGTTTATTTTTATAATTATAATACTAAATTTAATATAATTAACCTGTAAAATAATTACAGGCCTACTAAAATTTAATATATAGTTATAGTTATACTAGTATATATTATTTTTTTTTTATATATATAAATTATATTTATAAAGGTATTACTTTTACCTATAAATAACTTAGCCTGTACTTACATTATAAAAAGCTCCTAGTTTTTTATTATAATAATATTTTTTTTAAGCGCTTTAGCATAAAAATAAATATATAAGCTATTTAAAAGCTTGTAATTTAGTAATAAATAATATTTAGCTTAATAATAAGGTTAAATTAATTATATAAATACTAACTAGCCTTTTCCTTTTTATTTATAAGTAAAAACATGGCCTTAAAAAAAGGGCTTTAACTAACTAAAAGCAGCTAGTAAAAATCCCTGGCTAAAATAATATTTAAGCTACTAAAGGGTTTAGCTTTATAGTTTAAAAAGATTTTATAATATTATTAATTAATATAATATAGCTATTTTAAACCTATTATAAACTTTTTATTAATAATTAAATATAACATGCTATAAAAACTTGCCTGCAAGGTTAATAATATTAAAGGTTATAAGTAATTATAACCCCCCTTGCCTTTTAATATAATTAGTAATTAAAATAATAAGTATAGGGTTTAGCTATTAATATTATATATAGTAATACTAGTTAAAGTAGCCTATATAATAATAAAGGTTTTATAATTATTAGTATAAAAAGCTATATATTTTAGGGTTATAAATAATAAGCTAATAATATAAGATTTACTAGTGCCAGCCTTGCTATTTAAATTAATTAATAATTATTTTAGTAAAAGTAATAAATATATAAAAATAAATTATTACTTATTATTTATATAAAAAACTAGTAAACCACGCGACCATAAAATACTTTTATAATATTTAATTATAATATTATATAGCTAGTATTGCTTAACCTTTAGGCTATTTAAATAAGCTAATAAATAAGCTAATATATTTATTAGGTAATTTACCTTTGCTAGATTTTAAAATTCTAGACTAAAACTAGGTTTTTTTATATACTAAGTTTAGTTATATTATTAATTAATATTATGCTGGCTTAGGCTATTAGGTTCTACAAGAAAATTATTATTATAGCCGGGCTATTAAGCCACCATAGCCTTTTAAAAAAGTACCTTAATAATTAAGCTAGTATTATTATCCTAAGTTAGTAAATTAATTTTATTTTTTATATTTTTATTATTTTATATATAGCTATTTTTTTATAACCGTGGTATTCGCGGTAGTATTTATACATGTTATAAAAGTTATTAAATATTAATTTATTAATTATACGCAGGTTATTTATTTTAATAAATAAATAGTAAAGTATTAACTTAATATAAGTAAAGTTTTTTAAATTTATAACTTAGTTATATATTAGGTAGTACTAAATAACGCGATTTTTTATTTTATTTTTAACTTTTTTATACACTCTAGGCTATAAGGTATAGTAGTATATATAATATAATAATATTAAATTAATAAGCTTTAGTAATTACTATATATATTTTATTATTATATTTAAACCCTATTTAATACTACCTTTTTTATTACTAGTATTATTACAGTCCGTATTTAGTAGTAAAAATAGGTTATTTTATTTTTAATTTATAAAACATGGAATAATAACTATATTATAGCTTAATATTTAAAGTAATAGGCCTAGTAAATAGTGGTAAACCTTTTATATAAACTAATCTTACTTTATAATTAGGGTATTTATTATTTTTTATACTAGTAATAGTAAAAAATAACATGTATTAATATACTTAAAAACTAAATTTATAACCTTTTTATATAACCTTATTTTTTTTTAAGCTTTATAATATACTTAATAATATAATAAAGCAGGGAGCGCTTGCTAGTATATATAATTATATTTAAGTTTATAAGCTACCTTAAGCTAATAATTAGGTTAAATATATTTAGGGTTATATTATTATAAGCTAAAAAAAGATAGTAATATATATTACTAATTAATTTTATTAATTAAAAATCACGCCGTGTTGCTATAAAAAAATAAAAATAATAAATAACTTACTTAGTTTACTTATTTTTTTATTAATAATAATTTATATTATAATAATAATATAGTATATGGTTTATAACCTGTGTAAAATAGGCAAGTATATTTTTTTATTAAAACTAGGGTAGTTAAATAATTTTATAATTTATATTAATAATAATAATTTACACGCGGGAAGGGTTTATAATTATAATATATATGCTTTAATAGGCCTTAAATAACCACTATAACTTATTAAATTATTAAAGGTTATTAAAAATAAGGGCGGATTATATTTAATATATACTATAGTTATAAGTTAAACCTTAACCTTGCTATTTATAGCAAGACTAATTATTTATAATATTAAATTTAAACTTAATAACTATATTAAAAAACACGTGGTAGTAATAATAAAACCATACTATAATAATATAAGGGTTATTTTATAAATTATGCTATATAATTTATTTATAAATAGCCTTTATACTATTGCGCCACGCTTTATACTTAGGTAATTATTATATTAAGTTATTTTAATATAAATTAGCTATAAAAAATATTAAAAATAGGTAAGCTATACTTATTTAAAAAATAAGTAATTAAAATAACACGCACGGTAACAAGAAACAGGCTACTTATTAATATTTTTAACCATGGCTTTTAAGCTATTTTTCTTGCTATGCTAAAATAGCTATATACTATAAATAATTTTAAAAAAATTAATAATAAAATTTAGTAGTGTAAATAATTTAGCTATATTTAACTAAAAGGCTGCCTATAACTTTTTTATAAAAATATCTTGCTAGCCAGGCGCGTGGTTATAAATATAAAAACTAGCTTGCTAATTTATTTACTAATAATAAATTATATTAAAATAAATATATTAAAACCGGGAATGCTATGCAAAACAGCCACTTTTATATTTAAGTAAGTATTTAATATAATTTATAAATAATACCTCACGCGGGCGTGTTATAACTAGCTTTATATTATTATAAAAAAAAGGGTAAAAAATACTAGTAATAATAATTATTATAAGTAGTTAAACTTAAATAATAGTATTATATAAAATAAAAAAAAGAGTTAAATAAAAGTTATTATATACTAGCTTAGTAGTATTATTTACCATGGCTTATAAAGCCTTAAGCTTTATAATTATTATAAGTAAATTAAGTATTATAACTATATTAAGCGCCTGTATATTATTAGGGTTTATTTATTAATTATTATTTAAGGTAATTAACTTACTGGCTAGCTCCTAATTTAGGATAAAATAATTAACTAGTTTATTTTTTAATAACTATATAAGGTTATAGTTATTTTTAATTATATTTTAATACCTTAAATAATTTACTTAAAGGTAATCCAGCTACTGTTTAATTACCTAGTATTATATTTTAAAATTATAATAAAATTATAAGTATATTTTTTAGTTTATACTAAAATTAAATAGCTATAAAATTAATACCTTAAGTTTTTTAGGTAAAAGCAGGAGCTATTTATATACTTAACTAGTATTTTATAAAAAGTTAATAATATAGCCTTTATATAAATACTAGTAATTTTAAATATAATAAACCTTAATAAATATATAAACTTTTATAATTAGTATTTTTTTAATTTATATTAATTTTAGGAGGTAAAAAGGAATATTACTAGGATTTATTTTATTTTATAAATTAAATTTAAAAATTTTTTAGTTTTAGTTAGTTAAAATATAATACTTGTAAATATTATCCCTTTTTAAAGGTTTATATTAAACTATTATTTTTAATAATAATTACATATTTTTAGCTAGTGTATATTAAGCTAGTAATAAAAATTATTTAATAGCTTTTAATTATAGTTTATAATAGCTAAATATATAAAATTAATTAAAAAAAATAAATATAATAAGAAAGCATGGTCTAGGTCTGCGTGTATAAAAAGGCTAAAGTTAACTTTAATAATTTATAAAGGTAAAGATAATTTATTATTAATAATAAACTAGGAGCTTATAGCCGTAAAGTTATTAATATTTAACTTAATATTATTTTTATTAATAATAATAACTAGCTACAGGCGCCTAGCCAGCAGGCAAGATATAAATAATAATAAAAATATAGCTATTGCGGGCGTGAAAGGGGGTATAAAAATAATAAATATTATTAATAATAATAAGTATATTAAAAATAAATAGGGAGGTTAAGGTTCACGGGAAGTAATTATATAAACTACCTAATTTATTACTTACTAGGTATATTATTATTTAATATTTTTATAATATTTTTTTACTTATTATAAGTTATTAAATAAATATATACTATAGTATTAATAATCTAGCTTTAGCTATAGCAGGCGCGCTTATTATATATTTAGGTTAATTTTATTAAAAAAAAATATTAAAAGAGCGGGTTAAAAAAGCCTGTAATTATAATAAATTATTTACTTTTTTTTTATTATATATTAATAGCTATAATATACATACAAGGTAATATAAACATACCTTATTTTTATAATTATTATAAGTATTATAAGGCTTGCAGCCCGGGCGCTATTAAAATTAAAATATAAATAATATATTTTTATACTAGCTATAAAATATAATTAGCTTTATAATTAAATTTATTTATATAAATTATAAATAAAAAAAAAATTATAAACTTAAGGTTTAAGTTATTATATTATTAAAAAAATTATATTATAAAGTTAAAGTAGTAAAATAGTTATATAATTACCCTTTTTTTTAGTTAATTAGCTTTATTTTTTTTAGCTAATTAATGTTATTTTATTATTTTACATAATCCCTAATAAAGCTCACGTGACTAGGAGCCGGGACCTACAATTTATCGTGCGCGGGCCTCTACTTTGTTCCGGCCTCGCGCAATAAGGAGTATCTACCTCGATGTATGGTTGGAGACCACCGCCGACACCATATTCCTGGTGCCGTGCACTTCCATGTCCACTGCCAAATTGAACGCGACGATCACTTCGAGTCGGGCTTTTTCTCCAGACTGGTTGCACTGAACCTGGTTCGCCAAAGCGAGAGCCTCTTCTGGATGCCTGACATCCAGCCCGGTCCGCCCGCTGCTAATGACGAGCACTTTACCCTCTCAAACGACCCGTCGCTACCTGCGAAGAAGGCTCGACCCCCATGGAAGAACGGATTTGTCACAACCTGTGGCCCGTGGTCGGAGCTGCGCGGCATCAAGATCCTCACGCCCAGCGCCTACCTTTACTCTATTATGTGGTGCCTGCTCCGCGATATGGGTCCCGACGCGGAAGAAGACAGACCTTTGAGGGACCGCTGGTCCGAGCTAGGCCGCCATCTGTGGGGGCGTTCTAATCTCGTGCATGGTCGGTTTAGAGATTCATGGAGGGAGATCAGCGCTAATGCCGGGGTTGAATACCGGCCTGTCACGCTTGCGCTGCGTCAAGAGCTGCTTGCCAGTGGGAGGCTTGTCAACCCAAAACTATGATCGCGCGGACAGGTGAGTTGGTGAGTGTCTGACCATCTGTTGGGGAAATTGCGTTCCATTTGTTTGTGTATGCGTCCGCCCTTTTGTGAAAATATAGTTGCCCTTTGCATGCTGTTTATTCATGAGTCTTGGGCTCTGTCTGCACCAAAAGTTCACTTACGACGCAGTCCTGGGCGTGGTCAATGGCGGAACGAGTCCTTAGTATAGCCAGTTTCCATCGCTAGTGGCGTGTTTCTTTTTCTTTCTTCGTATATGCCAAGCTTCTTTTCTTTGTATCTCATACTTCTTCGCCTTGTATGTCTCAATTTCCGTCCCGAGGTGGTGTCCGATCCAGTGCCTCTGCCGTATCTGTCTTAGTACATCTGTGATAACTTCCGTTTACACCGTGAGAAAATACCGAATCCCCCATTGCGTGGTAGACTCGCCTGAAAGCCGGCATCTACGAGGCCGATGACTTCGCACCCCTCTGGCCGGTAGATAATCAATATTGAGGGCTAGATCCTTGGTGCCGATGGATGACCTCGTTCCGGCCAGGGACGTCAAGATTAGCAGACTCAAAATCCTGTAAAGCAATCATCATAGTGTCAACGGCCATGCAGGAAGAGAAGGCGCAGAAACTCGCCCCCAATCACCGAGATGAGACACTCGGATGACCTCGCGGCCCCGACGCGCGACTGAACGGAACAACGCTATTGACCCAGGCTTTCTCGATCTCAAGTGACCCCATCGGACATGGCGCCATAGAAACGGTACCAATGATTGATTGAGTATCATGAATTGTTTTTTTATTATCCAGGGTGGCCATTTCCGGTATTCGACCCACAAAGCCATTGTCCAGCCGAGTACTTTGGGTGATCTGTTGAAAGCAAGGGACAAGACCATGGACAAACTAGGTAAGAGGGATATTGCTTGTTTTGAGGATGGGAATAACAAGTGAAAGCCTATATCAATTAGATCGATCCTTCTTAAATCGCTGGCACCAAAGCCCGTTTTCGACACCTTCTTACGGATATATTTGTCCCTTTAAGGATTCAAAGAATCCCACCTTGAGAAGTTCAAAGATTCATTCCATATCGAAATACATAAATGCCTTCCGAAGTCCTCCTTGGTGTGCATTGGAAGTTGTCTTTCCTCATTGTATTATATTGTTTCTTATCATTTTGAGGCAGATCTCCCCACGAAGCGCAGCAACATGGGCATGACCAGTAGACATATGGAGGCCCTCCTCGAGCCCCATAGGCCCTGCAAGAGATTATTAATGCTTGGTAACAAATGCCCAGGTTGGTACAGTGCCCCGGACGGTTAACACAACTTCTGGTTGGCGAAGTCATGGAAACTGGAAAGACTCACAATGCGACAACTACGTCAAGGTCGAACCCTTTGGGCTTTGGAATGCAGGCGAGTTCTTTGATCCCTTTACTGAGCAGGATATGCTAAGCAGTCTGTATCCGCACGGCCCGGAGCCCATTTCCCGCCAAAGGAGCTTACGCCCGAGCCCGGCGACATAGCCCCCGGATACTTTGGGTCCTACACCCGGCAAACCTACTCTGGATTTGGGGAAATCGCCACCCGCAACGTTAAGAAACACGGCACCCTTGACCACTACACCGTTGGCCCCCTGCGCGGGGGATACCAATTCTGGAATGTTATGAATCGACTTGACATCCCCGAGAATCAGCACCCGCGGTTTTTGTACTCTGGCGATTCCGAGACGCAGCAATGCGAGAACCGGCCGCGGCGAAAGCCTCGCCGGCGCCGCTTCTTGACTATCACGGTTGACTCCCCAGAGTCCAGACTTGGGAGCCGGGAAACGGGGGCGAAGCTTGGGCATGGGGGTCGGGGGTTTACGTTGCGCCGGACAGGCAGTGGTTCGTCGGGGTGGGCAAGGTTGTTGCGATTGGACTGTCACAACCGTATGCTCGTGATCCATTTCTCCGGTATGTTTTCGTGGAGCCTATCCCCGGCAAGAGTGGCCGTGACTTCTTCCACTGCCTTACCCTTAAGTGGATGGATGAGCTGCCCTCCAACCCCGCGCCTGATGTTGCCTGCACCCCCAACCAACGCAAGACATTGCCCCATCGCTGGCGCTTCCTGCCAACTATTGCCCGGGAGCCCAAGATCGGCGATGAATCTCCAGGGCGATACTGCCCGCCGAATGCGCCGCGACTGGATGTGTCTAACCCTTCTGTCTCGCGCCCGTAGTATTCGAGCCTAGACCACTCTTCGCCCTAGAATCGGAAGATGGTGGGGTTATCCGTACTCCGCTCCCTGCTGCCCGGATGTAATTTCCATGGGGGGCGGCATTCCTGGCTAGTGGTAACGCATTGAGCCAGATTACTTCCATGGAGAAACAAACAAGGGATATGCCATTCCTACATGGAACAGCGGCAAGCCTAGCCTTCTTGGTACTAGCGTCCGCGGACCGTCCAATTGCGCGCTCTCCAGGCGCGGGAGGGGCCGCCACTAGGCTCAATCTGGCTTCGACTCCGCAGAGAATTTGGCGCGGAGCACGAACGAACTCAATTTCCAACTCAAAATTTGATCGAGTATACAACAATAAACACTCAGACTCAATCAAACTCAATTTGAACTTTTGTGCGGCCGCAGTCACCAAGCAAACGGACTGTGTCATTTGGAATACAATTAGCCCCTGCCCTTGCGCTGCGGCTAACTATAAGCCCTTACTCTAATAAATTGCCTTAACATTGGCATCGCCCTTCTCACCGCAGAATAGGCCTACTACCCAGTACTAATTATGCCTAGGTTCAGGGTGTGGAGCGCTTCATTGGAGGAGTGACAGAGCTTGTACCGTCCAACGGTGGCTTGCTGGCCGAGGATTACTGCAGATCTTTGTGATTTCAGCAGATTATCACTGATACTGCCCATTCTCCAGAGCGTCATGTTCGACTCAGACTCCGGAAAGATTCTGAGAGGAAAAAAGGAACAACGCCACTATTGTAGCATGCTAAGGAACAGCCAGAGAGCTTTGTCGTAAGTCAGCTATTGGGATAATCCAAGGTCGTCCTGATGCCAGTTCCAAGGCTAACCTGGTGTAATGTCGCTAGCCTAGTACACCTTATACTTCAGTCAGCAAGGACTTAGAAGTCTTGCGTAGTGCCTTTTAGGCATCTGGAATTGAGAAGACCGCCCAGTCTCCTTGAATCTAGAAGCTGCATCCCCGCGCTTGCTTATGAGCAAAACATCAGATGAGATGGACGCGGACGAGTATGCCAAGGTTCGCAAAGAACTCACGCTTGGCAAGATCAAGAAATCTCGTTCTATAGGAACAACTGGACAGGAGGATATAATAGCGTAATCAGGACCTTGGGGCCTTCTTCGTCGCTTTCGTGCTTTTGGCCATCATACGAAGCCACGGTTTTCCGAGGGGGAGTAAAAGGCTTCACATCCAATCTCTATCTTGATGCCTGAATGAGCTAGAGAGCTTTCAGGCCTCCCTAGCATCTTCTCACTGTAGCTACGTCGGCAGATGATATTTTCACGTTGGCTTTCGGTATCAACATGGCCTGGCCCTCTAGTTCCGTAATGATGAGGACATGAATATCAGTGTTTTGGTTACAATCAGCATTCCTGTTTGGCAGTTGTTAAAGCTAGCATATATGCTTTCAGCTCTCCCCCGAGCTACCACGTAGTTGGGGAGCAAGGGCTCTGCCGACAACAAGCCCCTTTCATCGTACAATGCCATCATACAGAGTAGTTAACATCACCCAAGATCCGACTACACATCGATCGTACACGTACTCCCCTTGACAAGGGTCAGATAGTCGCCAGTCGAGCCATCCTCCCCTTTCACGAACTCCCAAGTGACAACCGTCTCGTTCACCACGGTCAACTTGCTGAACCCGTAGTGCGTGCGGTCCAGCTTCGCCGTGATCTCAGTCAACCCCTCGCCCTCGTCAAACTCGCTATGGCTCTCAATGTTCCCCGCCATCCCGTTGACAATATGCGTCATCGACACCCCGGTGTTGGCAAGGTACGTATGGTTACTCACAACAGCGGACTCGTCGACCGTCCCGTTCAGCGTCATCGGGTACATACGCTCGTACCAATGGATGTGACCAGACAGGTACGCGTCGACCCCATACCGCAGCAACAGCTCCTCAAACGCCTTCCGCACATTGGTCTGATAACTCGAGTAGGCAGACGAGTACATGGGCCGATGGCTCATAACAAACACCCACGGCGTCCTCGCACGGTCAACGGCAGCCAGATCCCGCGCCAGCCACTGAACCTGCGCATACGCCTCATTATCGTCCTCGCGATCCCCATCAATCGCCCCAAACGGCCCGCTATCCGTCGTCTCCGTCTCCTCGGGCCTCGCACGCGTCTCATTCCCCGTGCGATCCCGGGCCAGCGTCGAGAACGGACTGCTCGCGAAATCCGTCTCCCCGTCCAGACTCACGAAATGCGCGAGCCCATAGTCGAACGAGTACCAGAAGTTACCCACACCTCCGGTTTCAGCCCCAGGCATGCGGAAGCGGTGCTGGAACGCGGTGAAGTTGCGCTGCGACGGCGGACAGCTGTAGTATGTTAGATTCGTTGCGGGCGCGGTGCCGTTCGGAATCCCGTTATTCAGGTACGCGGTCATGGGGTTGCCGGGCCCGTCGAACTCGGCGCATGCGCTCTCGTGGTTCCCCGGCATGACCATGTGCGGGATGCGCGTGGTTAGATTGGCCATCCACTGCTGCCACAGATCCCAGTTGCTCTCGTACAGCACGCTCATGTCGCCGCCGTTCGGACCGCCTTGGTTTGGACTCTCGCCGGCGGGCAGGGGACGCAGGTACTCGTCTGGGATTGGGCCGCCGCCGGGTAACGCCGTGCTCGTCCCGTTGTAGCAGACCGGCCAGTCGTCCGCGCAGGGCAGGATCCCGGAGTACCAGTCATCTGCGTAAGAGAGATCCCCGCCATGCCAGGCAAAGGCCGCGCCCTTGTCTGCGGCGGCCAGGAGCTGCCTGTGCGTTCCCTGCGCATTGGTGTAGCCCATGTCGTTGAGGACGGCGATGGAGAAGGGCGTCTTGTCGCCGGGGGCACGGGCGGTCGTGAAGCGGAGCACCTGGGACTCGGTTGTGCCGTTGGCAGCCGGGATCTGGTAGTAGTATGTCGTTGCGGACTCGAGGTTCGGCAGGCTGACTTCGTGGAAGAACTGGCTGCATTGGGTGACGGCCCTGATTTGGCTGCAGGAGGGGGTGCGGTCGTATCTACCTTCGTCAGCATCTGTAGCTATACTTGAGAATGTGTGTGCGCACGTATGAGTCCATCCAGTGGCCAGGCTACTCAAATTCCCCGGACTGCTTCCCCAGCGCACAGACGGCCTCTCGCCAAGCCCAAACGGCGTCTGGTAGTGGATGTGCATGCCGTCCGGGAGATACGAGAGCGAAATGACATTGACGTTGTTGGTTGGATGTGCCGATGCCGGCTTCACGGCCGGGGGCTCGACGAGACGCGGGTACCCCTTGCCATTGCCGTTGATGGTGGGATTGACCCAGTCGCCGATGGGGACGGCGGGGCCGGTGTAGGGGTATGCGGTGTCGACGGTGGGCCGGGCTGCACCGAGAGCCAGGAGCAGGGATGCACCTGCTGCAAGCTGGAGCTTCATTGTGAACTGGAAGGTTGGCGTGCATGGGAGATTGTACCTGGCAGCAGGCTTTTAAACATACGGGGCTTATCGGATCGACCGCATGTGGGCCAGGCAGATAGTGAGGTTGTATCGCTTACGAGCTGAGGGTTGATGATTGGGCGAATGGAATGCTTATAGTGCTTAGCGCTATCTAGAGGGCCTGCCTATTGCTCTAGCCAAGGACGTCGGAGATCGCCGTTGCTCTCTAGTCGAGGTCATTGACCGTTGACACCAACTCGCCCATCCACGCTCGCCACGCTGCATCTCGGCCGATCTCGCTCTCGCCAGGCAGCTCTTCCACCTCCGGGGGGATCTCGTACACCTCGTGGCGTTGGCATGCCTGTCCAGGTCCCAGCCCTGCTACAGCATGGTCTTTACATATCTGGCAGAGCTTGGCTGTGACACAGGCAAGACAGATAAACACCGATCCATTGTGTATACGGCTCCGACACGCTGTACAGGTCGGTCTTCGATGTTCAGGACATTCCAAGCCCGTTCCGCCGTCGTGGGCGTAGACGACTCGCGCCTCGTCTCTTCTGCCAAGGTAGAGCAGGGCTTTGGCTACAATGCACGATTCACAGTCTTCGCTATGGTCGCTACCCTTGTTCGTCTGCAGCAGGCGCTCCCCAAATATAGCAACCGTCTGTCGTAGCCTTGCCTCGCGCTTTGTCGGGTCGGTCGGGTGAAAAGGGTGCTCCGCCAGGATCTTGGAGTCCGCCCCCGCCCATTCAAACGCGCTGCGACCGTACAGATCCAAAGCATGGGGATCCGCCCGGTAGGAAAGAAGCAGCCGAACCATGTCGGTGGCCTGCCGCGTAACGGCAAAGTGCAATGGCGAGGACCATTCCCAGCCGGCATTGGGGTCGGCGCCCGCTTCCAGGAGCCTGGCCACGACCGCCGTCTGTCCAGTCCGCGCTGCCAGATACAACGGAGTGTGGCCGTCCAGGTCTGCTGCATGGACGTCCGCGCCATAGCGGAGGAGGAGGTCAAGGATGTCCGAGTTGCTTTCGACTGCGGCCTCGTGGATCGGCGTTTTCCGTCGTTCGTCGGGGATGGACGGGTTGGCGCCGGCTTCGAGGAGGGTCGTTACGGCTGCTACCCGGCCCTCTCTAACGGCGAGATGCAGCGCCGTGCGGCCGCGCTGGTCAACTGCGTCGACTGGAGCAGCAGCACAGAGAAGCGCCGTCATCTCGGCGAGGCCCAGGCGCGCGGCCGTATGCAGGGCTGTCATGCGGACGGTGCCAGGGGGTGGGCTCGGATCCGCTCCGCGGCGGAGGAGAAACTCGAGCATCAACGGGGTCGGCATCAACGGGGTCGAGCCCCTGCCGGTGCCGGTGACGAAATCAACGACGTTAAATCCGCGGTCGTCGCGCGCGAGGATGTCTGCCCCAGCGGCTAGCAGACACTGCACCACCGCCATGTGCCCCTCCGCGGCGGCTATGCACAGCGGGCTGATGCCGATGGATGGGACGTTTGGGTCCATTCCCAGATCCAGAAAGATCTGGACGAGACGGGGATGTCCACGCGCCACCGCGATGGAGAAGGCCGTGACGCCAGTGCCGTCCTCGACGATCGGGTCGATCCCGCGGGCGAGACCCCATTCCGTCGCGTCGAGATGGCCGTAGATGGCGAAGGTGTGCAGTAGGGTCGTGGTTCCGCCTGGTATTATGGCCAGCGGGTTGGCGCCGTAGTCGCACAGCATCTGCATGACGGCGCAGTCGCCGGTCGGCGCTGCAGCAGTGTGCAGCACCGAGTCCAGCAGGTCGGGGGCATGCTCTGGGTACTCTCGCCTGATGCAGTCCAGGACCAGCCGGCGCATCGACTCGGAGATGTCCAGCTGCGCGGCGCGGAGTGCAGCCTCGGTCCAGTGCCACGAGTAGCTTTCCCACGGCTGGACTGCCGGATAGACGCTGAGGATAAGTCTCGCTGCGACATCTCTGTCGCAGCTGATGGCCGTCAGTAGAGCGGCGTCTCCGTTTCTGTCTTCGGCAAAGACGTTGGCCCCGGCGTCGAGGAGCAGGCGAATGCCCTCTTCGTTACTGGCTTTGATGGCTTCGTGGAGAGCGGTTGTCCCTTTCTGGCTATCAGATGGCCATGATTCCCCGCCGAGAAGTCTTGCAACGACCGTATTCACGCCGTTCTGCGCAGCCCAGATGAGCGGCGTGCCAGCGCCAGGCACGCTCCGATACCGGCGGGCGAGGGTGTAGAGCGAGGAATCGAGCAGGCAGGCCAAGCGCTGGCAGGATTGTAGCAGCGAGTTCAGAGATGGAACGTCGAGGAGTTCAGCGATGAGAAAGATCAGTTCGGAGGGCAACAGCCCCAGTGTGGGAGCCATCATGCCATGGCGTGCGATGTTGAAGACAAGGGACGGTCGCGCTTAAAAGAAAAGGAAAAGGGGACACTGGCCACGGTGGATCAGGGCAGCCAATGGCCTTGCTTTGTGCCTGTTATCCTGTGAGCCCCGGTGGCGCAGCTCCAGATGTCCTGCATACATGGATCTGACACCGATACGGGCTTATACGGGGTGGTGGCAACCACGGTCTCGGCTGGTGATGCTGTCTTGGATGGTTATCTTGGAGGTGATGCATGTCTTAACGCTGCAAAGCTAGACAGATCCTCGGGTCTCACCTCAATCTGATGGCAAGTCTCACCTTAATCTGACAAGTCCAGAGGCAACGTTTAGGGCTGTCCCATGGATCACCCCCGAATTCGCCAAGGGACCATGGACTGCGCAGAGCCAGGGACTGAGGCAAGCAGTCAGTGAGTTGTACTCCGTAACTAGAGTTGGAGAACAAAGAAGTTAATTTAGAAGCGCAACAAAGAAGAGCCACGAGCTGTTCTTTGTCCAATATATATCTCGCTGCCTCCTCTATCTTCCGCCATCATGGACCACGATGCCTCCGACCAGGACTTCCAGCACCTCGCAGCAGAGCCCGAGCATCTGCTTCAACTGCCACAAGAAACAGCTGAAGTGCAACCTCGGCCGCAAGACGCCCTGCTCCAACTGCGCCAAAGACAGCGCAAAATGCGTGTAGGTACCACACCCACGGTCGCACCCTCCCCTGCACTAACCTCCCCAGTCCGTACAACAGGAAGCGAAAAGACGCGCCCGATCGCGATGATCCGAAAGCCCGAAGAGACAGCAAAGACGGAGGCCGAAAGGACAAGGACAAGGGAAAGGACAGGGACAAGAGCAAGGACAAGGGCAAGGATGATGGACACAAGAAGCGGAAGGAAGGCGGATCGCTCGCTCGCGACCTCGACGCCATCGTCAGAATCGACCCCATCGATACAACCCGCGGGCGATATCTCGGCCGGTCGGTCAACTTCGACGAGCCCATGCAGACGCCCGTGCTGGCGAAAGAGAACCCTCTGATCTCCGCCGCCGACCTGCAGCTGCTCCGCGAGCAGGACGCCTTCACGCTCCCGACCAACCAAGTCCAGCACGAGCTGATCACGACGTTCCTGGAGTACGGCCACACCTGGACTCCGATCATCGACCCAGCCTGGCTGACCGGGTCTGCTCCCTCGTTCCTCCTGCTGCAAGCCCTCTTCGTCGCCGCCAGCCGCATGAGCCCGCAGCCCAACGACTACGGTCCGCCCGAGGACTTTTACCGTCGGGCAAAGCTGCTCTTCTTCTTCGGCATCGAGCGCGACCCGTTGATCCAGTTGTCTTCGGCGCTCCTGCTGCACTGGTATAACCCGGTCGGGGCGAATACACTTGTCACCGACACCAGTGCCTTCTGGCTGCGGACGGCCGAGTCGATCGCGTTCCAGGTTGGACTGCACAAGGAGCCGGACGGGGGCGATCGGCAGAAGAGCCTGCGGCGGCGGTTGTGGTGGACGATGGTGGTGAGTTTCTTCCTGGCACATAAAAGTAGGGCTAACATTCCAGCTGCGCGACTGCATCACGTCCGCAGAGACCGGCCGACCGCGCACCCTCAACCTCAGCGACAGCGACATCTTCCCTCCCTCAATCGACGACTTCCCCGAGCCAGACGCAGAGGCACGGATCTTCCCTGCCTCGGTCGCAATCTCCCAGCGCCTGGGCGAGACGGTGGAGCTGTGCCTTCGGAACGAGCTGACAGCCGAGCACAAGCGCTCGCTCGAAGACTCGCTCTTCCGCTGGGCGAAGCAGGACTTCCCCAGCGTGGCCGGCCCGTTCCCAGGCTACTCGATGGAAGCACGGCAAGTGGCCATCGCCTACCTCGCCAACCTGATCATCCTGGACCGCGCGGCCTTGGACGGCCTCCTGTCTGCCCGCTCCGTGCTAGCGGGCTCCTTCATCGTGGGGATCTTCCGCGAGTTCCTGCAAAGCGACTACCTCTGCCGGCTGGGGTCCGGCTTCGCATTCTACGCCTCCTGCGCCGGCCTAATCCTCATCCCCGCAGGGCGAATCGACAACGCAGTACTGCAAGAGCTAATCGGCGAAGAAATCCTCATGCTCAAAGCAGCACTGCACATCCTCTCCAGACAATGGGGCACCGCCTCGGACAGCCTGCGCACGCTGCGGAGCGTCGGAAAAGCCAAGCACGGCAAACGCCTCCACCTAGACCTGAGCCGAATGGACGAGACGCGCGCGTTCTTCGAGCCGTTCGACAAAACCTGGTGTCGGCTGTGGGCGCCCCTGGTCGAAAACGACGGCAGCCAGCATGTGTCGCGCAGGCGGGTCGAGAAGCAGAAGAGCGTGCTGGAGCCGTATGCGATTGCGCAGGCCAATGCGTGGGACATTCCGCCTGTTCCGGTCGAGTATCCGGACCCTCCTAGCAAAGGGTCTGGCTCTGGCTGTGCGGACTTGGGAGGGGCGTGGCTGCTGCGGAGTGCGCAGGCTCATGCTCACTCTCACTCTCACTCTCACTCTCACTCTCAGTCGCAGTCTCACCCTCAGTCTCAGTCTGGAGGGTCACGAGATCGAGGTCATGCAAGCAGTGGCAGTGGCAGAGGCAGTGGTGCACCCCTGCCTGGCTCCGAGAGGAGAGGCTAGAGCACGCCCCGGTCAACCTGGACGTGCATTCCAAGTTGCGCAGGTGCAGCGAATGCGAATCCGGCGAACGCTGTTCCTCTTCAGATGATAGGCATATCCCTTACTCCGTAGGGAGACCGGAATCCACCGATGACCTGGCACCGAGCATGCCATGCCATAAGCGAGATGCAATCTCACAGAGCCAAGCAGCGCCTCCTACGGAGTCGTCTAGACCGGGTAGTTGCATCGCCATCCCTGCGCCCTTGCGGATGCGGAGATAGCAACCGTCGATCCTTACAGGAGTGGGAGTGAGAGTAAGACATGCCGGTATTTCCATCTGGACTGGATTGGGCACCGCCAGGCCGTCCTGCTCGGGATGTTCGGAACTGAATTCGTGAGATGGCTGGGTGTTTGTGTTCGCTGCTCGCTGGGCGCAGTGCAGGGGGATACCGGACAGGGACAGGGCACGCCACACAATGTGCAGGATATCGAGCAAATCGGATCTTGTTCTGTACAATGGGATATCAAGGCAGTGTCGCTGTCATCCAGTCGTTTGTCGGTCCAAATCACCCTATCGAGCACTGGACTCTGCGTGCATGAACCCCTCTTACGCCGTACGGCCTGCAAGCCCAACACAGGGACCCTGCAAGGGTGACGAATGCCGTGCTGACGAACATGCTTTCTTTTCCCTTGCCAGTTTCTTCAGCAACAGTTCGACATGTGAGACGGAGTATTTCGTGCGCGGATCGGCCGATGGAGGTTCAGCTGGGCCCGGGGTTGGTTACGTCGATTGTTGCATTTTTGCTTGCTTTTTGCTTGTTTCCTTTTTGATAGTAATTGATTGGATGAGTTCGGTGATCTATCTACCTTACGTGCGTCATGCTTCTTCACAATCCTGCAGAACCCAAAAAATAAGACCTGAAGAAAGATAAAAAGCAATTACGCCAACTCCGACTCCTCGACCACCCCAACCGCCCGCGCATACCTTCCCAGCGCCATCAGCGGAAAGTAATGCTTGTACAGCGTGTAGTCAATGTAGAAGTGATTCGGGAAGCCCACGCCCGCATACGGCTGCTCATCCCACGACCCGTTCAGCTCCCCCTCCTTCACCTGGCGATGCATCAGAAACTGCACGCCACGGACAAGCACCGGATCGCCCGGATCCAAGCGCGCCACCAAACCCATGATCGCCCACGCCGTGTGCGTTGCGCTGGTCGGGCCCGTCCCCGCGAGACTGACGTCCCTGTACGTCTCCAGACACTCGCCCCAGCCGCCGTCGGGCTGCTGCATCTTGACGAGCCACCGCGCGCCGTCGTCCATGAGCATGCGCACGGTGTCATTCGATGACCCGTCGGGGTTCGTCTCCCAGTACGTCAGCCCGCAGAGAACATTGCTGGTCCCGTAGATGTAGTTCACGCCCCAGCGGCCGTACCACGCGCCAAAGGGCTCCTCTTGGGCCTCGAGGTAGGCGATGGCGCGAGCGGCCGTCTCGCGCATGCGTGATTCCAGCGATGACGAGACCTGGTGGGATGGCGTCTCTGTCCCAATCTTCAGAACGAGCCCAAACGCCTCGAGAATGCGACCGGTCACATCGGCGGTCGAGGGATCGCACATGCTGTCCATATCGGAGAAAGGGATCCTATTGAAGAACTCCTTGTTGTTCTCCCAGTCAAAGGCGCCCCAGCCGCCGTCGCCGTTCTGCATACCAATAACCCACTCGATGGCGTTGGTGACGACGCGCCTGTTCACGGAGGCCGGGTCCTGCTTTGCATACGCCAGGATCGCGGCGGCTGTGTCGTCGACGTCCGGGTACCAGGTGTTGTGGTACTCGAAGGCCCAGCCGCCGGTTGTGACGGTTGGCTTGAGGACCTTCCAGTCGCCGTTGCGGCCGGTGTGCTGCCGTGCCGTGAGCCAGTCGATGCCCTTCTGCAGGTGTGGACGGGGATAGCCCGCATCATGCAGGCCGATCGTCATGAGGACGGTATCCCACACGGGCGAGACGCACGACTGCATGCGGATGCCGTTCTTGTCGGACCAGATGAAGCGCTCCAGGCCAGACAAGCCGCCGCGGACGGGCGCAGAATTCATGGAGTACCCCTCGAGCAGGAGAGCCAGAACCCCAAAGAACATGGGAGGGAAGATGCCGGCCCAGTCGCCGGCTTTCTCCTGGCGCTCGAGGATCCAGGCGAGGCACTTGCGGCGGGCGATGCGGTTGAGCGGGGAGAAGCGCAGGCCGTTGAGTTTGTGGAGGACGTAGTCGGCGGCGACGCTGGCAGTGCTGAAGAAGTCGCCCTTCAGCAGCGTGGTGATGCCTGGGGCGTAGGGGACTTGCTTGTTCTCGGGGTTGCACCACAGCTCGTCGAGGTAGGCGCGGCCTTGCTTCTCCATCGCCGCAGGCCGGAAGACGGGCTCGTGGTGGCGGACGATGGTCAGGGGGACGACGGTGGATCGGGCCCACGAGGACATGTTGTAGATGTTGAAGGGGACCCAGGTCGGGATCATGATCAGCTCTGGGGGGAGCTGGGGGACGGCAGTCCACGGGTAGAGGCCGAAGATGGCCAGGTTGATGCGCGTAAAGACCCGGACTTTCTCGACGCCACCGGCGGAGATGATGAACTGGCGAGCTCTGCGCATGGCCGCATGGTCAGGAGAGAGGCCGAGCAGCTTCAGCGCAAAATACGCTTCCACGCTGGTCGAGATCTCGCCGGGCAGACTGGCTGCGATGCCCCAGCCGCCGTCGTCGTGCTGGTTCGCCAGCAGCCACTGGATCCATCCGTTTGGATTGGGAATGGGCATGTCGAGGGCGCACAGTAAACTGATGTATTCGGCTGTCAGTGTAGCATTGGCCTTGAGCTCGCCGTACCAGTGGCCGTCGTCGTGGGCTTCGTTGGCGCCCCAGGCTGTGGCGGCCTGGAGGGCGTCGCGGAGGGAAGACGACAACTTCTCGCCGGGGTGCTGCATTCCGTTGGACCTTGGATCTGTAGACAACGAACGAAGGCAAGGGGCTATATAACCGTCACTGCCTCCATCATCTCAGCCGAGCCATCAGGCGATTGTCCGAAGTCCGCCACTACGCAAGGCATTGCGCCGAGATCAGGGTGACGGTCTGGGCAGAGCCAGAGCTGCATCCGGAACCCTCGGGGCTGATTGCAGGTGTCGGTGGGAAAGAGAGCAAGGATACCCATGCCTTTATGATTGGCCACGCCCCTTGACAACCAGTTACTCCGGCGGGCTGTCTCTCCTGGCACCCCTTGCTCAATCCCCTCCGTCCGCCTTACTGTAGGGTACACATGACATCAGGAATGACGGCCTGCTGCTGGCTGCATGGTCCTTGCGGGGACCTCGGGATGGCGAGATAAGGTACTCGACCTTTGATCCAGAATCATCTACATCGGACCCCAGATACTCCGGTGCGACAGAGCGGCTTGACATTTAAATCGTGGTCGGCTGGCTTAACAGATGGCCCTTCTGGTCATTTCTCATTTCGTATCATTTCTCATTATGCTGAAGCTTGTTGTCCTGCTGGCCGCAGCGTACCTGGCCTACGAGCTGGCCTCGCGGCTCCGCAATAGGAAACCCCTCCCCCCTGGCCCCCCTCCCCTTCCACTCATTGGCAACCTGCACCAGCATCCTACAGACCAGCCATGGGTGCAGTACCGGGACTGGCACCGGAAGTATGGGCCCATCATCACCGTGAAGATGGGCATCCGCACGGTGATCTTCCTAGGGAGCCAGCAAGCAGTAGATGATATTTTGACCCAGCGAGGCAAAGTCTACTGCTCTCCCCCAAGCTTCGCCTTCTTCGGCGAGTGTATGACGGGCAACCTGCTGCCGGTGCTGCTGCCTCAAGGCGCTCAACGCCGCGACATCCACCGCCTCGTCGTCACCATCCTCTCCCCCAAGGCCTGCCAGGCGTATTCCGCCGTCCAGGAGCGGGAGAGTCTACGCCTGATGAAAGGCCTCCTCGCGGCGGATGGCAACAACAAGTACAGCTGGGGCTACTCGGTCGGAGTGACTTCCACTCTCATTTACGGCGCTCGCATGGGCGAAGTCGAGGAAGCCGAGATTGGCGACATCGAGGCGCTGTTCAACGGGATCCTGGACGTGGCCTCCAAGGAGAATGTCTTCTTGGAGCTTTACCCCTTCCTAAATCTGCTGCCCCGTCGCTTCAACCGCTGGAAGAGAGCAGGGGACCAGTTCCGCCAGCATTTCATCAAGCTCTGGGGCCGGCGTATGCGACGCGGCCTCAAGAACCGCAACTGGAACTGGTCACGGCTCTTCCACGACAACAAGCCCGCCGACATGTCCGAAGAGCAGCTCTTGTTCTGCATTGCCGAGCTCGAAATCGGCGCTGCCCTTTCCACAGCCTCCCTGATCCGTCTGTTCATTGCCACTGCCGTCCGCAACCCAGCTGCCGCTCAACGCGTCCGTGAAGAGATCGACCGAGTGGTCGGGGCAGACCGTCTCCCCTGCCTGGAGGATCAAGGAAAGCTCCCCCTCCTCCATGCCTTCTTCTACGAAATGACCCGCTGGAAGGCGGCCGTCCCGCTCTCCCTCCCGTATACAGGCCTCGAGGACGGCGAGTACAATGGCTACCGCATCCCCAAGGACGCGCTCGTCTTCGCCAACCAGTGGGCACTGAACATGGACCCAGACGTCTTCATCCATCCCGAGATCTTCCGACCAGAGCGTTGGATCGAGAACCCCGACCTTCCCAAGCCCAGTATCTTCGGGTACGGGCGCCGCGTGTGCCCAGGCGAGCAATTCGGCACCAACGGCCTGTTCATCGCATTCTCGCGGATGCTGTGGGCGTTCGACACCAAGCCGTCGGACAAGGGCTTTGGGAGGGACGAGGCGCACACGGCGCTGGGATTTGTTGCGGAGAGCGACACGGACGGCGTAAAGTTTGTTCCCCGAGACGAGAATCGCGTACGTGTGCTGGAGGGCATGCTCAAGGACCAGATGCTCGAGGACAAGGAACTGCTGGATAATGCGTCCAAGGTCGTGCGGCTGCAGTTGGCGGGACAGGTTGCAAATGGGACGGCGAAGTAGGGAGCAGGTAGCAGGGGTCATCGATGGCAATTGCTAGGATTTCGATAGATCAATATCACATACTCTTTTGCTTCCTGTCCTTCTGTTAGACAGTCCGCGAGGTGATGCGTACTGGCCAATTTATTGCAGCGTTCGCTCAGTTTCGACGGTCGAAGAGAAACCCCAGTCGTCTCTGTTCGAGATTGGCGAAGGCCAGTGAATGTTGCCTAGGACCGTCTGTCTGTCCATCGAGACCGCCACGAGACTGCCAACGCTGCTCGAGACCTAACCGCTGCCGTTTCGCTGGCGGGACTGATAGAAAAGCGTCGTCTCAATCACACGCGGTCGATTAGGGCTATCCGCTTGGGATCCTGATCCGACAGTTTCGTGCCAGTGGAATACAAAATAACAACGAAATGATCCTACATTCGGCAGGATCAAGATCGCAATGCTCGCGAAGAGCTCCTCGGCAGGCGTCGCAGATATGGAAGTCGCAAATAAGCACAGGGTGGGAAGGCACAACCCCCGGAGGTTTATGTATCCCAAGTTGAGGTCCTCCTCTTCCTCTTGCTGCTCTTCAACTCTCTTACCCACGCATTTCTATGCACAACGCAAGCATTTATATGCAATCATTCATACACTCTCTCAGTCATGGCTACACGACAACCGCTCCCTCCTCGCCAGCCTCTCCGAGCCTCGGCGCAGAATGCGGCAAACAGGAGATGCTGGAATTGCGATCGGATTGGGCATCTGGCTAGAGACTGCCGTCTGTCGAAGCAAGTCTTTGGCCAGCCGGGCAGACCCAATGTAGGTGGCCAGTCAACCCAGTTCAATCTGGCCAGGGACTAACAGGACGTGTATCTGGCAGAGACCACAGCAGCCAGACCAAGCTCCAGCCCGCCAGGAAAACCCGCACCCCGAGACTGCACCGTTCCGAGGGCGAGACCCCAAGCAATGGGAATGCTACGCCTGTGGAGTCCCTGGTCACGCTCGCAGTGGTTGTCCGTTGATGACAAGAGGCACCGGCCGAGGGACCCGATACCAGGTATGCTGTATCCTATCGGTCGCTTCCGGATCACCGCTCTGACAAGGATCTGTGTCTCAGGACCATCGCAGGACATACGATCCCAGACGCCGCCAGGAACCTCGCCGCCAGGATGAGCCTCGCAACCGCCAGAACCGTCCGAGATTCCAAACCGGCAAGGATAACGTTCAGCTGGACCCCCGTCACCGTCTGAATCTGCGGCCCCGTCAAGAGGCATCTCGCATACGCAAGTCTCCCCCACCCAAACGCGATCCTGTAGCAGCTCTTCGCAAGGAGATCTCAGCCCTTGGCCTGCAGACTCCGGCGCGCGGATTCGCAGTCGTGCCTTCTTGGAGAACGCCCAAGACCAAGGCCACCAGCGATGAGGAATGGTTGCCGAGTTCTGGGCAGTCTGAGAGCCCGACGGTTGATGATTCTAGTACGTACGCGCACGTTCTCTTCTACCCTCTGCAACAATGGGCTGACTAGGCTTCTTCGACAGCATTCGCTACCCCGACCACATCAACTTTGTCGGACCAGTGACAGTCAACATTATAACCCAAGCTTGCTGACATGGTTGCTGAACATTGGTTACAACATTGTCATGTTGGTACAATCACTCACCACGAACCACGATATCTTTCAGGTCTATCCCACGATGCGGCCATCGAGGCCGCTTGTATTGTTTGAGCTTGGTAGTCAAGAGCTCTTTGTATGATTAAGGAAGTTTCTTACCAATGCATTTCATACAGTGACAGGGAGACATTGAGATTCGTAAGCTGTATATTTGCTGAAGATGCCTTTCTTTCGTCTTTCTGCTTTTCGACTAAGATGTAGACTCCATGATAGCAACCGGTATAGCAACCGGTCAATAACGGAGCTCAGCGGCAATTGGTACTTTGCAGCCGCATCACTCTTTATGGCGGACTCGCATCATCATCTGGACCGTTAGGGTTCGGTTGTTTCTCGCTCGCCTTCCTCCGGTGCTTACTGTCTGCAGGCGTCCATTGGCAGCCACCCACTCTATCCATTTCCATCTGCCGATTCTTCACCTACGATTCGGCTTCAGGCTCGTCATTTCCATAACGCCCATCCATCCATAACAACAGCGGCAACTCCATACCGACCAGCGGCGCCCGACCTAAAAGCACTGAGGGCATGTAGCATCTAAGTGTATTGAGGTTTCCGCATTCAAAGTACGGTCAGGCTGGTGTAGAGGTCACAACATTGTGCCCTTGCTTTGGAAAATGGAAGGTGTTTGCTCACTTTAATAAGTGGACGCATATATATTTTGGCGGAGGTCGCCTGCAAGGCTGGCCAGCGTCTACCCTGGGCTAATAATGCAAGTGACATGGGAGTCTAGATAGTAACCACGGAAGTAAGAGTCCGGAAGCCTCCACAAACTCCGTCATTGATGTGCAGTCGATCCACTGCTGACTGGAGGTAATTCGTTCTTAACTCCGACCGGACATTTCGCCGGTCGCTCTTAAACACTTCAACCCCCGCTCTCTTCAGCCTCCCATCAATTCAACCTCTGTAAATCACTTCAACATGGTCCTGATGAACGGAAAAGAAGTCGGCCCCATTGGCTTTGGCCTGATGGGCTTCACGTGGCGGCCCCAGCCCTGCCCCCAGGAGCAGGCCTTCGAGACCATGCGCGCCGCCCTACGAAATGGCTGTACGGCCTCCTCTATGACTCTCGAGCTATGCTAACACTGGCAGGCACCCTCTGGAACGGCGGCGAGTTCTACGGCCCGCCCTCCTACAACAGCCTCGTCCTGCTGGAGCGCTACCTGGAAAAATACCCCGACGACGCCGACAAGTTCGTGCTCAACATCAAGGGCGGCCTCAACCTAACCAACTTCCACCCGGACGGCTCCGAGACGAACACGCGGCGGACCCTGGACGACAGCATCGCCCAGCTGAACGGGCGCAAGAAGATCGACCAGTTCGAGTGCGCGCGTCGCGACCAGACGGTGCCCATGGCGGAAACCTTTGGCGTCATGAACGAGTACATCCAGGCCGGCAAGCTCGGGGGCGTTGCGCTGTCGGAAGTCCGCGCCGAGACGATCCACGAGGCCGTCAAGCACACCAAGATCCACGCGGTGGAAGTCGAGCTGTCACTGTAAGTTGGCAATGATGGCGAATGACGCAGCTAATGGGTAGATTCTCCACCGAGCCGCTCGAGAACGGCGTCGCGGCCGCCTGCCACCAGCACGGCATCCCCCTGGTCGCATACTCGCCCCTCGGCCGCGGCCTGCTCACCGGCCAGATCAAGACGCTGGACGACATCCCGCAGGACTCGATGCTGCGCCACTACCCGCGCTTCCAGCCGGACACGTTCGGAATCAACATCCAGCTCGTGCACAAGGTGGAGGAGCTGGCCGCGAAGAAGGGCTGCACGCCGGCGCAGTTCGCGATCAACTGGGTGCGGTCGCTGTCAAGGAAACCTGGGATGCCGACGATCATTCCGATTCCTGGGGCGACGACGGTGGAGCGGGTGGAGGAGAACAGCAAGGTCGTTGAGTTGACGGATGCGGAGATGGATGAGATTGATGCGATCCTGGCCAGGTTTGAGACGGCGGGCGAGAGGTATCCGGCGGGGATTCCTACTCATACATGAAATACTTAGAGAATAATGATCGGACGACTTTAATCCGATGGAATGTTACAAATGAGAATGCCTGTTTATGATATCACCTATGATATCATCGGTGGTCATGCCTGTCTTCCACCTTATAACATCCCTTAACATCCCTTATAGCCCACCCCCAACTCTCAATCATCAATCAACACACTCACCATGGCAGGCTACCATCTCCCCGTCGACCTCAAGCAATTCAAGAAGCTGCAGCTGGACCCCTCCAGCAAGAAGCTGTCCGCCCAGCAGAGGAAGGACCTGCTGCACAACATCAACGTCTTCCGCGATGCCATCATCGCCTTCACGGCCACCGGCGCTGCCCGGGGTCAGGCTGGCCACACCGGCGGCCCCTTCGACACGGCCCCTGAAGTCTGCATCCTGCTGGGCCTGATCAACGCCCAGCCCGACACCTTCTACGACGCCATCTTCGACGAGGCCGGCCACCGCGTCGCCACCCAGTACCTGCTCGCGGCCATCGACGGCAAGATCGAGCCCGACCACCTGCTCAACTATCGCGACGCCAACTCGAAGCTCCCCGGCCACCCCGAGCTCGGCCTGACTCCCGGCGTCAAGTTCAGCTCCGGCCGCCTGGGCCACATGTGGCCGCTGGTCAACGGCATCGCCATGGCCCACAAGGACAAGACCGTCTTCATGCTCGGCTCCGACGGCTCGCAGCAGGAGGGCAACGACGCGGAAGCCGCCCGCATCGCCGTCGCCAACAACCTCAACGTCAAGCTGTTCCTCGACAACAACGACGTCACCATCGCCGGCCACCCGTCCGAGTACCAGAAAGGCTACGAGCTCGAGCGCACCCTCAGCGGCCACGGCATGAAGGTCGTCCGCGCCCAGGGCGAGGACATCGACTCGCTCTACGCGGCTGTTATCGATGTGGTTACTAGCAAGGGGCCCGCGGCCGTGGTCGTCGACCGCAAGATGGCCCCTGGCATTGAAGGCATCGAAGGCCAGACCAAGGCCCACGATGTCGTGCCTGTCGACATCGCAAGGAAGTACCTCACCAAGCGCGGCTACTCGGAAGAGTCGCTCGCCTTCTACGACCAGATCAAGGCCACGTCTAACCCGCACCAATACCAGGGCTCCACCAAAGAGAAAGGCGGCAACCGCGTCATCTTCGGCGAGGCCGTCAACTCGGTCCTCGACGGCCTAAGCAAGGAGGAAGCCGCCCGCCGCGTGATGGTCATCGACTCGGACCTCGAGGGGTCCACCGGCCTGAAAGCCATCCACCAAGCGCACCCAGAAGTGTACGTCTCATCCGGCGTGATGGAACGCGGCAACTTCTCCGCCGCCGCAGGGTTCGGGTTCGGCAGCGACGGGTCGCGACAGGGCGTCTTCTCAACCTTCTGCGCGTTCATCGAGATGCTCATCTCCGAAATCACGATGGCGCGACTCAACGGGTGCAGCGTGCTCTCGCACTTCTCGCACAGCGGCGTCGACGAAATCGCCGACAACACCTGCCACTTCGGCCTGAACGCCTTCTTCGCGGACAACGGGCTCATGGACGCCGAGAGCACGGGCCTGTACTTCCCGGCTGACGGCGAGCAGATGAAGGCCGTCGTCAAGGAGGTCTTCTTCACGAAGGGTCTCCGCTTCATCTTCTCCACCCGCTCCAAGGTCCCGTACATCCTGAAGGAGAACAGCGAGGAGAAGCTCTTCGGGGGCTCATACAAGTTCGTCCCGGGCAAGGAAGAGTTCATCCGCAAAGGAAAAGCCGGGTACGTCGTGTCGTACGGCGACATGCTCTACCGCTCGCTGGACGCCGTCGAGCGGCTGCGCAAAGACGGGCTGGACGTCGGCCTGGTAAACAAACCAACACTGAACGTGGTCGACGAAGACGCAATCCGGGAATACGGCAGCTCGCCATTCGTGGTCGTCGTCGAGTCGCTCGCGCAGAAGACGAGTCTGGGCTCGCGGCTTGGCTCGCACTTGCTTGATCGCGGCCTGACGCCCAAGTACCGCATGATGGGGGCCGTGAAGGAGGGCTGTGGGGGGCTGTTCGAGCAGATCAATGCGCAGGGGTTGGGGCCGGATGATATTGCGCGGGTTATTCGGGATGTTGCGGGGAAGTAGATGCTTGCACTGCATAGAGTGTGGCTGTAAGATGAGATGTGATGAGATGAGATGAGATGATATATGCTAGAAATGAACTTGGATTGGACGATTATTGCATTCGAGATCTAGTAGTGTAGCCATCTAGCTGGACCTCTGCCAGTGCCAAAGGCGAGGGAGTCTTGATCTAGCCTGTCTTCTCCGATCTTGTCTTCCAAAGCAACATTCTCATTCTCGTCTAGGGTTCTCCCAGCAGCATTCTCAATCTCGTCTTCCCCCAGCAACATTCTCAATCGTCGTTCCCAAGCAACATTCTCAATCTCGTCTTCCCAAGCAACATTCTCAATCTCGTCTTCCCAAAGCAACGTTCACAATCTCGTCTCCCCAACTACATCCCCATCGTCCATGCGAACAAGACCAACACAAGTCATCTAATCCCTAGTTCAGCTCCCGCTGCTCAACAACACCCCGAATAACCGCCCTCACCCCCTCATCATCCAACTCCTGGACCCCAAGCCAGGCATTATCATTCTCCTCAAAATGCCCCCCCGTCCCAACCCCCCACTGCGCCCGATGAATAAACGGCATCATGGTCTCGCGATTAAACACGCCTTGCTTGATCAACGGCCACGCCTTCGCAACTTCCGCTTCAACATCCGTCTCGGTAATTGTCCATCCTTCGCCGCCAATAACCTCCTGCGCTAGCCCCAGAAGGTGCTTGATGGTCAAGTTTGCTTCAGCGATTCTAACAACGCGGTTCCGACTCTCCTCTTCACGCTGCAGAATCGACACAACCGCCTTCCCAATGCTCGTCTGGGTCGTCGTACTATAAACCCTCTCTCCACCACCATGCAGCACCGCCTCGCGACGGCCAACATCAACGGGAAAAGAATGGGCGAGTCCCCAATCCAAAAACGCGCCGTTATACACAATCGTATAGGTGATCTGATTCTCCGCGGCTAAAGTCTTAAGGAGTTCCTGCACGCCGACCTTGCCGCGGTATGTTGGGGCCGCCCGGTTGACAGGGTTATCGAGGTCCGCGCCGAACTCGGAGGGGATGAAGCGCGGGACGCCGGCGGCGACGGACGCGTGGATGAGGTTCGTTTGGGTTTGGCTGGCTGTGTGGGGGAGGAGGGAGAGGATGCAGTCTGCGTGGAGGTGGGAGAGGGTTGTTGTGAGGGATGGGATGGAGGTGTAGTCTACCTCGACGGTCTGAGGAGATGCAGTGCCGTTGGTGGCACTGGGTGGAGCAAGAGCAGGAGCAGGAGCAGTGGCCTGCTTGGGCCGGCTGAAGATCGTGATGTTGAAGGTGCCTGCGGCGACGAGGGCTTTGAGGATCGGGGGGCCGAGGTTTCCGGTTACCTGGGTGTGTTAGTGATAGTACGTATACTAAAGGGGAGAGAAGGGGAGGGAAGGGAGGGGTACGTACGCCGGCGACGACGACATTCTTGATTGCCATTTTGGTTCGAGGTGTTGAGACGGAATGGTTGAGGTTGGTGATGCGGCTGGGTGTGGACGGGGCAATAGTCAAGGATGCGAGATACTGCTGTAGGTTGGGGATAAGCAAAGGCTGGTCGAGGTTGAAGGTCTGTGATGAGTGAAGTGGAGGATGATGGAGAGATTCGGCAGCGAAGAGTGAAAAGACACCTTATATAACACACTGCCAGGCTGCAACCAAATGGAACAGAGGCAGTGAGTCACAACATGACTCCGGTATCTGACGCCATCATCAAGTTGGTTGCAGCGGAATACTCTTTATCAATCTTCACCGAGATATTCCTTACCAATGGAGCTTCATCGTGCCGGATAAGGTTGGGCGAACCAATGGTCCGTCCAGCTCGAGCCAGGGTTGTTTGCCGGACAGCAGGGACAAAGGCTGGGCAGGCACGTTTACGCCATCTGCATTGCTACTCCTAATGGCTTGTGGTGGGGCTGAGGTTGCGTTGATGTGTTACTCTGTACGTGGTGACATCTTCAATAGAGGGCGTGGATGTAGATGACGTAGGCTATACTAAGGTTGTGAATAAGCTTCATTGCCATGAGCGTTATGCATTCTGACATTTCCTTCAGACTGCGGCCTATTGACTGTGGTATTAAGCCTATTAGATTCTGTCTGCCACACCAGCGCGGGAACCCTTAGTTATTCCCTTAGATGAATCTAGCTTAGCACTATTTAGAAATAAAAATAATTAAAAAAATTAAGAAAGTATATCCCTTATTAAAAAAGCTATTCTTTAATAAAATTAAGTTTAATATTATACTAGTAGCTATTTAATATTTTAAGATTATATTATAATTTTAAGTTATTTAAAATTATTTTTTAATGTTACTTTATACTGAAATTTATATATAAAGCTATTTTTTAAAAATAAATAATTTTTAAAATTTATTTTAAAATAAGCCCTTAGACTCCTAGTAATAAAAAACTTAGTTTTGTTTAAATTTTTAATTTCAATTCTAATTTTTCACGCTTTATGCTACCTTATAACTAATATTTTATATTAATTTTTTAACTAGCTATACTCATTATTCTCTTAATAATCTAGGTATTTTTAACACCTATATATTTATATATAAAAAAGCTAGTAAAAATATAGGTTGAAAAATTGATATTTAATTAAGACTTACAATACTAATTTAACTAAATATATAATAAGTAATAGGCCTTAAAAGTTTTAAAATATAATAATTATTAAGTTTAAAAAAGACTTTAGCTAGGTCTAGTATAATTAAAAAATAGTTTAAAAAAAGCTCTTAATGTCAAGGGCAACATTAATTTAGGTCACGCCATTGCAAAGCATTAATATTACTTAAACTAAATACCTAAGGTACTTATTTAGCTTAATAAATCTTATTATAATAAATTATTAAATAAATACTTAATTATGTATATATGACCAGGGACCATAGCTTAAAAATATTAAAATTTAAATATTATTTTATGAATAAATCAAAGGCATGCCTTATATTACATTATTTTATAAGTTAAAAAATAATTATAAAAAATATAAATTAAAGAATATTTAAATTTTACCTATTTTTTAATTAAAAATGGCTTAAAAATTCTTTAAAAGCCTAAAATGTTTGAGTAAGGCTTAAATAAAAAGGCTAAAGGCTATACTATATATATTCTTTTAAGTATTTTTTTAGTTAAATTTATTAAGATTTGTCAGGGCCAACATTTTTCCATTCAACATTACCGGAGCTAATCCACTGTTGGTCCAGAGTTAGTGCCTTAGGTAACCTAAGCTTTAGCCTTAGGCCGCCAAGGCTTGGCATACCTTACTATTATATTAGGTTATATAACTTAACTAGGTTATTAATATTTAAGGTTTTAGCTACTAGTTAAGCAAGGCTAGGGTAGGCCTTAAATATAAATTAAAGTAAAAACTTATATATAAAGTATTTAAACCTATATTTACTTTTTAGTTAAAAATAACTTAAGCATAGCTTAAAGGTTTATAAAAATAACTTTAAAACTAGTTTTTTTTAAAATTTTTAAGTAACTTTTTTAATATTATTTAGCGGGGTTTAAAATACTTTATTTTTATTAATTAAATTTTTTTATTAATATTTTTATTATTAATAAAGATTTTTAAAACTTATTAATTTTATAGTTAAAGTTACTTTTACCTATTACTTTTTAAACTTTTTTAATAATAATATT